ATCTATTCTCTTCTATCTCGGTCTTTCTGTGTGTCTGTCTGTCTATCTATCCATCTATCTCAGTCTATTCTGATCTATCTATCTATCTATCTATCTCAGTCTATTCTGATCTATCTATCTATCTATCTATCTATCTATCTATCTATCTATTTATCTATCTATCTCAGACTATGCGTATGTATGTATCTATCTCAGACTATTCGTATCTATCTATCTGTATACATATATATATATGTGTGTGTGTGTGTGTGTGTGTATTTAGGCAGCAAATTCTCTTTTAAGCATGTCTAATTGAATAAATTATAGACATTATGTCTGCTAATTTTGAACAAAATCCATTCATACTCATGAATAACCTTCCGTGTATTGATGTTAAAGGATGAGAGAAATGTGCTATAGCTGTTTAAATTTCCTTTAGTTTCATTTCCCAAGTACTTTCGATCTTCTTCCAAAATCGTCTTCAGTGGTGCAACTAATCCAAACTATATGTTGTTTATTAGTATATGATGACCTTGGAAAAAATCGAAAGTACTTGAGAAATTAAAATAGTGTGACTTGTAAAAAAAAAAATATATAAATCTGCGTTTTTTCTCGATTGGCCGATACATGCCAATACATTAATTTCTCTCTCCAAATTTATATCCCCCTCTCTTTCCTTCAAAACCCTTAATCTCTCTCTTATTTCTTACTTCTTTACGTCTCCCCATTTTTTATTTTATATTTTCTCTTTTTTTCCTTTTTCCTTTTTTTTTTCTCTTTTTCTCTTTATATCGTTTCCGGTGAATTGACCTATTAAATAGGTCAATGTCCGATCCTAACACCCCCTCCTCAATATTAAGTATTGTAATAAAAATAAATTTAAAAGCATTCCTATCTCTCTCTTCCCTCTCTAATTTCGACCATGTGTATCACACTATCTCTCACCACTCTCTATATCACCTTATATAAGCTTAATATTGCCCTTCAAAAGTGTAAGTTTACATTTATTTTTTCATCCTTGGAAGTGAGGTCTGATGATCCAGAGAAAAAGAAAATCTTTGGTGAAATAAATTATAACAATGGAACTTTAAAGTGATCTGTTTTTCCTTAAATTAAATTATTCGATCTGACTTAACATTGAGCTCTCCGGATTTTATCCTCCTTGGGATTATCCATACGGATTACCAATATTTTCATTACTTTATATATATATACAGTTTTCATTTGTCAAGTAGTTTTTCGTTTGTTGTATAATACGGTACTAGCAGCTACCATTGCATAAATCAGCATTATTTGTTACCCCTCTTTAATATTTTTTACTCCATCATAAAGTCAGTTTACGAACTAGTAACAAACTTTTACCAAACAATGCTTTTGCCATGCATTTGAATATTAACTATACAGGTGTACAGTGGAAAATATTTACTTATGAAAGTCGGGGATGACGGAATAAACCGTTGGGAACCCCTGGACTAATTCCCCACTTTCTTTTTAACAATAAAAGCATGGGTAACTGTCTGCTTTCGACGGCCAGATACAACCAGAGTCGCCCAACTTACATCTATAGGGTGCCTAGTAATAAACGGCACATTTATCACCAGTTTTATCTTTTAGCAATAATTGACCATGAATAAATTTTTTGAGTATTTATAACCTTGAATATTTACTTAATTCTGATTGGTTTATTCATGATTGATTAATTGCCACTTGATGTTGTGATTCGTCATTTAAAAGGTTATTTGCAGACAACACCCGTCTTTCGTTCTGGTTTCTCTTGTATGGCTAAACAACTCACTGAATTTTGAGCGTCACGTTATCTTCCTTTTCAAAAGAAGAACATCTGACGTGGGAATTGACGAAATGTGAAAAAATTCTTCCTGAATTTTTCAGTCACATCAGTCGTCACCATTTTTCAACGGTTGTCTTACATCTTTCTGAATTTGCTGAATTTGAATTTTTTTTTTTTTTTTTTTTTACTGGGCACCCTGTAGAAAGATGAATAACATCTACTGGAAATGAGAGGTCTAATTTCTTTAAAAAAATGTTTACTTTGAAAGAGACAGATTTTATAAATTTCTACCGACAGTGGCACTGACTGCACGGGTAGTATATCGTCCTTTTCAAAGAACATCCAACGTGGGGATTGACGAAATGGGAAAAATTCTTCTTGAATTTTTCAGTCACAGCAGTCGTCACCAGTTTTCAGTGGATGTATCAAGTCTTTGAATTTACCGCATTTTTTTTTTAATGGGGATCCTGTAGTAAGTATCTCAAACACGACTTTCTACGTTGATTGTTGATTTGTCAGTTGCGCCCTCTTTGCACTAAAGCAGCCGGGTCCGAATTCGTTCCACTGACAAGAATTTCTACTTTGTCTATGCCAACACCACAGATCTACACTGCATCGTTTCCTGTCCCCAGAAAACGCACGGTAGAATTTCACTTGCTTATTTCTTCTTTATTTTATTTTATTTTTCTAGATATGAGTGACTGACTCATGGACACGTTTATCTGACTTTCTGTTTTAGTTTTAGTCTCCCCCTCCCATTCCTTCCGGATATCGCGAACATTTCTTTCCATATCTCAATGCAGCTATAATCAGTTTTGGTATGAAGTGGAGAAGCCGACTAACAAATCGGATATACGTTTCTGTTATCTATATAGGGAAGATAAAGTTTCTTTGTTCATTTATTTATTTATTTATTTTTTGGTTCTTAAGAGCCGAGTTCCTAAGAAAAAACGAGACGAAAAATGCTGTCTGAGGATGGAAAAGAAAGGAAGCCACCCCTACCAAAAATAAAAAAAAAAAAAAAAAAAAAAAAAAAAACAAAGAAATAATTTGGGTGCGGATCTGTGGACCATCATTTTTTTTTTCTATTTACAGTTCCACTGATATTTTTTTTTTTGTTCTTGTTGGTTTATTTTTAAATAGAATGGTAATATTTTCCCCCTCTTCGGACATGAGTCGCTTAGCAACAAAAATAGGATAGGAAACAACTGCAAGTAAATTATATTAATAATAAATATGAAACTCAAAGCTGATTTTAAATTAGTTGCGAATACAAAAAAAAAAAAAAAAAAACCTAACTCCGAATTGATGAATATTAATGCTTCTAGTTTTAACGGAGCTAGTTGAAATTAGAGAATGTTTTCATTATGAATATGGTCATCTGTAATGGCAGCTTGCTTTTTGCAAACTATCTTCTGTCTCGTTTTCTCTTACAATGTTTAATTACAGGTATCATGAAGGATGTTCATATTATGGCGGCCGATTCATTTATATTTGGTTTTACGGCGATCTTGTTTTTCGTGTACAGTGAGGTTCTTCTGCTTTAGTTAAAGTGTTTTTGTAATATTTTGAAATGTAATGATCGCTTGCTTTTCATCTATAGTGATGTTAATCTGCTCTTGTTTTGATAATATTTCGAAATGTAATGATCGCTTGCTTTTCATCTACTGTGATGTTCTTCTGCTCTAGTTTTGACAATATTTCGAAATGTAATGATCGCTTGCTTTTCATCTACAGTGATGTTCTTCTTCTCTAGTTTTGATAATATTTCGAAATGTAATGATCGCTTGCTTTTCATATAATGTGATGTTCTTCTGCTCTAGTTTTTATAATATTTCGAAATGTAATGACTGCTTGCTTTGCATCTACAGTGATGTTCTTCTTCTCTAGTTTTGATAATATTTCGAAATGTAATGATCGCTTGCTTTTCATCTACAGTGATGTTCTTCTTCTCTAGTTTTGATAATATTTCGAAATGTAATGATCGCTTGCTTTTCATCTACAGTGATGTTCTTCTTCTCTAGTTTTGATAATATTTCGAAATGTAATGATCGCTTGCTTTTCATCTATAGTGATGTTCTTCTGGTCTTGTTTTTATAATATTTCGAAATGTAATGATCGCTTGCTTTTCATATAATGTGATGTTCTTCTTCTCTAGTTTTGATAATATTTCGAAATGTAATGACTGCTTGCTTTGCATCTACAGTGATGTTCTTCTTCTCTAGTTTTGATAATATTTCGAAATGTAATGATCGCTTGCTTTTCATCTACAGTGATGTTCTTCTGCTCTAGTTTTGACAATATTTCGAAATGTAATGATCGCTTGCTTTTCATCTACAGTGATGTTCTTCTTCTCTAGTTTTGATAATATTTCGAAATGTAATGATCGTTCTTTTCATATAATGTGATGTTCTTCTGCTCTAGTTTTTATAATATTTCGAAATGTAATGACTGCTTGCTTTTTCATCTACAGTGATGTTCTTCTTCTCTAGTTTTGATAATATTTCGAAATGTAATGATCGCTTGCTTTTCATCTACAGTGATGTTCTTCTTCTCTAGTTTTGATAATATTTCGAAATGTAATGATCGCTTGCTTTTCATCTACAGTGATGTTCTTCTTCTCTAGTTTTGATAATATTTCGAAATGTAATGATCGCTTGCTTTTCATCTATAGTGATGTTCTTCTGCTCTAGTTTTTATAATATTTCGAAATGTAATGATCGCTTGCTTTTCATATAATGTGATGTTCTTCTGCTCTAGTTTTGATAATATTTCGAAATGTAATGATTGCTTGCTTTGCATCTACAGTGATGTTCTTCTTCTCTAGTTTTGATAATATTTCGAAATGTAATGATCGCTTGCTTTTCATCTACAGTGATGTTCTTCTTCTCTAGTTTTGATAATATTTCGAAATGTAATGATCGCTTGCTTTTCATCTACAGTGATGTTCTTCTTCTCTAGTTTTGATAATATTTCGAAATGTAATGATCGCTTGCTTTTCATCTACAGTGATGTTCTTCTTTCTTCTAGTTTTGATAATATTTCGAAATGTAATGATTGCTTGCTTTTCATCTACAGTGATGTTCTTCTTTCTCTAGTTTTGATAATATTTCGAAATGTAATGATTGCTTGCTTTTCATCTACAGTGATGTTCTTCTTCTCTAGTTTTGATAATATTTCGAAATGTAATGATCGCTTGCTTTTCATCTACAGTGATTTTCTTCTTCTCTAGTTTTGATAATATTTCGAAATGTAATGATCGCTTGCTTTGCATCTACAGTGATGTTCTTCTTCTCTAGTTTTGATAATATTTCGAAATGTAATGATCGCTTGCTTTTCATCTACAGTGATGTTCTTCTTCTCTAGTTTTGATAATATTTCGAAATGTAATGATCGCTTGCTTTGCATCTACAGTGATTTTCTTCTTCTCTAGTTTTGATAATATTTCGAAATGTAATGATCGCTTGCTTTTCATCTACAGTGATGTTCTTCTTCTCTAGTTTTGATAATATTTCGAAATGTAATGATCGCTTGCTTTTCATCTACAGTGATGTTCTTCTTCTCTAGTTTTGATAATATTTCGAAATGTAATGATCGCTTGCTTTCATCTACAGTGATGTTCTTCTTCTCTAGTTTTGATAATATTTCGAAATGTAATGATCGCTTGCTTTTCATCTACAGTGATGTTCTTCTTCTCTAGTTTTGATAATATTTCGAAATGTAATGATCGCTTGCTTTGCATCTACAGTGATGTTCTTTTTCTCTAGTTTTGATAATATTTCGAAATGTAATGATCGCTTGCTTTTTCATCTACAGTGATGTTCTTCTTCTCTAGTTTTGATAATATTTCGAAATGTAATGATCGCTTTTTGCATCTACAGTGATGTTCTTCTTCTCTAGTTTTGATAATATTTCGAAATGTATGATCTTTTCATCTTCTAGTTTTGATGTTTTCGAAATGTAATGATCTTCTTCTCTAGTTTTTTGATAATATTTCGAAATGTAATGATCGCTTGCTTTTCATCTACAGTGATTTTCTTCTTCTCTAGTTTTGATAATATTTCGAAATGTAATGATCGCTTGCTTTTCATCTACAGTGATGTTCTTCTTCTCTAGTTTTGATAATATTTCGAAATGTAATGATCGCTTGCTTTTCATCTACAGTGATGTTCTTCTTCTCTAGTTTTGATAATATTTCGAAATGTAATGATCGCTTGCTTTTCATCTACAGTGATGTTCTTCTTCTCTAGTTTTGATAATATTTCGAAATGTAATGATTGCTTGCTTTGCATCTACAGTGATGTTCTTCTTCTCTAGTTTTGATAATATTTCGAAATGTAATGATCGCTTGCTTTTCATCTACAGTGATGTTCTTCTCTAGTTTTGATAATATTTCGAAATGTAATGATCGCTTGCTTTTCATCTACAGTGATGTTCTTCTTCTCTAGTTTTGATAATATTTCGAAATGTAATGATCGCTTGCTTTTCATCTACAGTGATGTTCTTCTTCTCTAGTTTTGATAATATTTCGAAATGTAATGATCGCTTGCTTTTCATCTACAGTGATGTTCTTCTTCTCTAGTTTTGATAATATTTCGAAATGTAATGATCGCTTGCTTTTCATCTACAGTGATGTTCTTCTTCTCTAGTTTTGATAATATTTCGAAATGTAATGATTGCTTGCTTTTCATCATCTACAGTGATGTTCTTCTTCTCTAGTTTTGATAATATTTCGAAATGTAATGATCGCTTGCTTTTCATCTTCAGTGATGTTCTTCTTCTCTAGTTTTGATAATATTTCGAAATGTAATGATCGCTTGCTTTGCATCTACAGTGATGTTCTTCTTCTCTAGTTTTGATAATATTTCGAAATGTAATGATCGCTTGCTTTTCATCTACAGTGATGTTCTTCTTCTCTAGTTTTGATAATATTTCGAAATGTAATGATCGCTTGCTTTTCATATAATGTGATGTTCTTCTGCTCTAGTTTTTATAATATTTCGAAATGTAATGATCGCTTGCTTTTCATCTACAGTGATGTTCTTCTTCTCTAGTTTTGATAATATTTCGAAATGTAATGATCGCTTGCTTTTCATCTACAGTGATGTTCTTCTTCTCTAGTTTTGATAATATTTCGAAATGTAATGATCGCTTGCTTTTCATCTATAGTGATGTTCTTCTGGTCTTGTTTTTATAATATTTCGAAATGTAATGCGCACTTGCCTTTTATTCAAAGTAATATCTTCACTTCTAATGCTTTGCAATATTTTGTAATGTAGTGCCAGGGTTTTAGTGCTTTTACTGCTGTATTCCTTTGGATCTTGCGGATATGGCCGAAGGGGTAAGTGGAAATTAAAAGGGAAAAGAATGAAAGTGAAAAGAACACACTAAAAAGAAAATAAATGAAAAAGGATAGAAATTGAGTAAAAGAAAGAAAATGAAAAAAAAAGAATATGAAGAAAGGAGGTACGAGAATAAAAGAAAGAACATGGGAAAAGAAGGAAAATGAAAAAAATAGAAAAAAATATAATAGCAAGGAAAAATGATAAAAGAAAGAAATTGAAAAAAAAGGACAAAAATGAAAAAGAAAAAATATGAGCAAAGAAATATTTGAAAAAAGAAAGAAAATGGAAAAAAGAAAGAATATCATTAAAAGAAAAAATGAAAAAGGAAGAAATTAAAAAAAATGAAAAATATGGAATCAGGAAATATATGAAAAAAAGAAAAAATATGGAAAAATTATGAAAAAAATAACTACAATGAAAAAAGAATCTGAATAGAGAAAGAATATAATAAAAAGTATAAATGAAAAAAGAAAGAAATTGAAAAAAGAAAGAAAATGAAAAAAAGAAAGAATAAGCAAAGAAGAAAGAAAATAGAAAAAAGAAAATAAGAAAAAAGAAAATAATATGAAAAATAAAAGGAAAAAAAAAAAAAAAAAAAGAAAGAAAATGAAAAAGAAAAGGGAAAAAGAAAGAAAATGAAAAAAGAAAGAAAATAAAAAAGAAAAGAGAAAAAGAAAAAAGAAAGAAAATGAAAAAAAGGGAAAAAGAGAGAAAATAAAAAAAGAAAATAATATGAAAAAGAAAAGTGAAAAAGAAAGAAAATGAAAAAAGAAAGCAAATAAAAAATAAAAGGGAAAAATGAAGAAAATGAAAAAGAAAGAAAATGAAAAGAAAAGGGAAAAATGAAGAAAATGAAAAAAGAAAGAAAATGAAAAAGAAAAGGGAAAAAGAAAGAAAATGAAAAAAGAAAGAAAATGAAAAAGAAAAGGGAAAAAGAAAGAAAATGAAAAAATAAAAAAATAAAAAAGAAATGGGAAAAAGAAAGAAAATGAAGAAGAAAAGGGAAAAAGAAAGAAAATGAAAAAGAAAAGGGAAAAAGAAAAAAAGAAAAAGAAAGAAAATGAAAAAGAAAAGGGAAAAAGAGAGAAAATAAGAAAGAAAATAATATGAAAAAGAAAAGGGAAAAGAAAGAAAATAAAAAATATGAAAAAAAGAAGACAATGAAACAAGAAAATATGAAAAAAAAGAAAAGGGAAAAAGAAAGAAAATAAAAAAGAAAGAAAATGAAAAAAAAAAGAAATTGAAAAAAAAAAGAAAGATGAATAATATATCCTAAAATTTTTATATATACATGTATCGAAATTATAAATTGCCTAAATCAATACAAATGGGTTTTAATCGAGAAATGCAAATTTTATTTGTCCCCAAATTCTCCATTTTTTTTTTTTTTTGACGGTCCCATTTTTGGAAATAATGCACCAGCCGATATAAGCATTCCTACAACATTTTTTTTTTTTTAAATAATTCCTGACAATTTATAATTCCTTTCTTCTTCATTTGCAATGTATTTACATTATACATGGGTGCTGAAAAGTTCTCACCACAACCAAGAATTCTTTTTAAGACAAAAGGTACAAAAAGGTACGCAAAAAAAAAAAAATGTAAGGAAAAATAGAAAAAAAAAAAGAATGAAAACAACAACATTTTAAAATAAAAATAAAAAATCTTGGAAACAAGACACTGGAAGATTATATTGATATAAATTTCTCTCGATGAAGCCAGCCACGAATCAAGCCTATTTTTACAGCCGCTCGGATTGCCGCTGCCGACGACGCCACCCAGTGCCTCCATGCGGCATTGTCGATTGATCTTACTGCAATCGATAAGCGCTTTGATCTTGTCAAGTGCGACATTCCTCGATTTCCTGGTAATAAAATGTCTAATTGCAAATCGCTCTTTGCGTAATAATTCCTTTACACTTTGCCCTGGAGCAAACAGGTCTGAACTGTCAGTTTCTGATTAATCTTGCGTTCCGACACAGACAACAGACGTTGGCTGATCTGTGGTTGCAACAATTTCAAATTATAAAAGAATTCCTTGAAAATTTCACCGAAACGAATGCAATTTTTTTAAAAAATAATTTTCCCTGAAAAGTGCTAAAATCTCTTACAAATCCATCTTTGATGCCTATCCATTTCTATAAATAAAGATTAATTCGGTTGTATATGTAAAGTTATTGGATACTATATATATTAAGTCTTTCCAGCCCCGCCTCCACATTAAATAGAATTAATTACTTTTAGGCCTGGATTATATATATTTAATATATATGACATCTGTATTTTGGTGTTTTTATATTTAATATATATGGCATCTGTATTTTGATGTTTTTATATTTAATATATATGGTATCTTTATTTTGGTGTTTTTTCTTTCACTCGTATAGAGAGACTATAAATATTGTCTTTCCAAACTACCTATTTATAACAAGAAGCAGTGGCTTTTAGGACTGAACTTTTTCAGGCTTTTTAAAAAAATTACTGATTGTTTATGCAATACAAAGGCACAAGGGTTACTCAAGCTAGAGCATTACCGAGTTAGATTGTTTTAGAGTAGGAGGAAGTAAGAAATGCATATTATGAGGACGGTTGACCCTGGACTTAAAGCGACTAACATTGTAGTTGTCAGGGAAGCACCCCATTGGGAGTTTCGGCTGCAAAGTAACAGTTCTGAGGAAGAAGCTGGTTAAGAGGGATCTACTCTTTATTAATGGAATACAAAAGGAATGAAGATGAGTTGGCTGAGTGTACGTGGTATTATCGGAACAACTGCGGGAAGTAAGAAATGTAGCTCGTTAGAAAAAGAGAACTTGTGACATTTTGTTTCTGGGAGAAGGGATTCAATTCTTCGCCAATGGAAACATTTTCCACTGAATTGATATCAGAAT